TTGTACAACTAGAAATACAAATAGAAAAGATAAATTGTGTTCGAAAACTAGCTGGGACTATATTTTTGGAGGAATGGTGGCGTATGAAAATATCTTCTTTTCTGCCTCTCAAATGTTTTATAGAATAACGAATTGAGTTATAATTTTTACACAATCAAAGACTTAAAGAATTTTTCAAATGTTAGCTAAAATTAATAATAAGGAACTAAAGTTTTAAAATATATCATATAAATATGATTTTCCAAACAAAGTACAATTATTTTAGCTATTTAAATCTTCCAATCTAAGTACAGATATCAGCCAAAAATCCGTGGAAAGTGTTTTACTCTCTAAGTAAACGGTTAAAACCTCTTGTTTTTGTATCATTTTGTATCTCTATATGACTTATTTACCATATGTGAAAATAAGAAAAATTTAAATATAGGGCGCATATTAAAATAACTAATCCTAAAAATTTAAGAAAAAAGAGAAAATTCGGATTAGCCAAAACCCATTTTTGTTAAACTATTTGTGTTAACTTGATAACATCATCTTATAGACCTATATGGTAATATCTTTTTATGCAAAAAGAAAAACATTTAATCTTTTGAAATAGAAGACCCTATCGCATGATTGGATGCAGTTATTTTAATGTCCAAGGAAAAGGTAATGACCTTGACCTGACCTTGACTCTAATATAAAACGGTCAAAAGTAATCTAACTGATACAATCACTTAGTAATATTGTTTTCTTGATTCTGTGAAAATTTCATTAATTTTTAAATGCAAGAAATAGTTTTCTTTGAGAAGAATCCTATCTTAAGTTATTTCAGCAAATATTGGTTGCTGGAGTCAAAATTCTCATGGAAACATGCTGAAGTTCAAAAAGTTGACATTTTGAGCAAGTATAGAGAATTTTTGTTAAAACTGGCAGCATTTTAGAAAAGTACATGTTACTGTACCCATAAAATAAAGGTTTGGTGTCTTTAATGCCTAAAAACATCTTTGGGAAACCAACTACTAATATAATATTATGTTTTCAGAATTTTCTATGGCTCATGACTTGACCTACATTGTGTAAAAAATCTTTTTTTTTCCGTCCTTTTCTATTTAAGTTTTTTTTTTTTGCTAGGGACATTGTGGGTGCGAAAAAGACCATGACTCATAAATTTAATTCAACATTTATTTAACATTAACAGCATAAAAGTAAAATTAATGTATTCTTCAGGGTCTAGCATATGTATAATTAAAACAACGCTTGCATGCTGAACATGCAAACTACGTTAATAACCGGAAATTTACTTATATAAACATCCATATTTGGTAAATGCAATGACAATTTAATTGAGTTAACCTTGGACGGAGGTCAATTGTTTAAAAAAAAGACTATAAACCTGAACATTTAATAAATCATAATCCAGTTCCACTGCAGTGTTGCGTCATTTGTTGCTGATTTAATTGATTTATATCAAACGTAACGAATAAATCATGTTTTGTTCTAAAAGGCACTGGATACGGGTTCATTAATACCCGGCATAATGTCAAATATGACATATATAAATGTTTGTTCTGTCAACATCTTTACCAATTAAACAAGCCAACATGAAAAGGCAAAAATACTTTTTTAAAAAACTTTGCTTTTTTGTACTTTGTTTATGATAAATATTTATATGTAATTTGCTTTTTTATGTCAAGATTCTACTTCTGGCACGTGTACATGAAATCTTGAAGGTACCATGACAACCAACTAATTAAAATAAGTTCTAGGCTTAAAATCGATCGAGTTTAACGTAATTTTTATGCTCATTTTCTGAATGAAATGAAAAGTAAATTAAATTTGTAGTAATTAAAAGTTCTCAACACAATTGTTAAAGGTCTCTCAAGTCATCTTTGGAGCAGAGCACTCTTTATGGTATTATTATCTCATGCTTTGTAAAGTATTCATTATTGCGTCCATGCAAGGAACAGAAAGTGCTTAGCTTATTTACCTAAAAACATATGCTATGCAACTGTGAATAATGTATTTTTTGTAAAATACACAAAACACACAAACGGAGAGAAACGTAGTTCATCAACCCCTGTTATGCTATTCTATCAGGTAAACTGCAAGGTCCATCTCAGATCCCAACAACATCTTGTCCTTTTTTCAAATCTAAGTTTAAAAATCCCGAGCCTACAGCATCATGGTTTTGTAAGATAATGAAAGTTTTCATTAAATCCAAACCTACAAGGTTTTTTTTCAAAATACGTTTGTATTGTTTTTCTTGATGAACGTCACTCGCAAGAAATATCCACTCTTATGGAGATGTAAACATGCATCTGCCAGTGTAAAGACGAATAATGACCCCCATCGAATAATGACCAGGGATCATTTTTTCAACGGCAGAAAATGACCCCCACCCGTAGAAAAAAATCGTTTTTTGTAGAAAAAAGCCATAGGGGTCATTATTTTATATGTGAGTCCTATAAAAAATTGACCCCCGTTGAAAAATGACCCCTTTAAGAGAGATCAAAAATTTAAAAGTTTAAATTGATGCAAAGCATCAAATCGGCAACAAAAATATTTAATTTTAGTATTTTTTTAAAATAATTTTCACAACCAATCCATAAAAAAAAATTAAGGAAAAAATGTACACGCACTATGCATGGTACGTATATTTGTTTAATTTTTTAGAGTGACCAAACGAGTAAATAAATCTATATAAGATAGGGCATCCTCGCAAGTCAGGCCTCCATAAACTGAGAACTGACTTAAGTCAAAATTTCAAAACAATATAATTTTTGCAATAATTTCGATAATGAAATTAAAATTGTCACCCTATGTTTGAATAAAAATGACATACAAAACTACAAATTTTTAAGCAAATGTGTTAAGTGATTCTTTAAAAGATATTAAAAATTTAATTTTTGACGTAAGTCGCTTCTCATTTTATGGTCTTGAGGCCAAAGGTCCTAGGTCAACGCATTGTCGTTGGTCCAATAGCAACGTGTTGACTCAGGCTTGCAAGGATGAAAAAAGGATAATGTCATCATAGAATTATTGAATCAAATACTAGTGCCACAAGTATCAAAAATGTCTAATTTAGAATGTTGACAAAAAAGGATGTGCAGCCTGCTGATATCGTGGATCTTTATCATGTTTTGTGATAATGCTGATGTTCTATCAAAATAAGATGTTTAAAAATTCGTTATGTCATTTGCAGCTGTAAAAATTAATGTTTTCAAAACAATATTAACTAAGGCCATTTTTCTTTAAAACTTGTACAAGTTATTGGTTATTTTAGGCATTGTTATTCGTATCCGGAAACTCGATACGTTTTGATTTCATGTCGTATGGGGGAGCAGTTGAAGCAAACAACTTTTTATAAGATCATATAAATTAATGAAAATCTGAGGAGAAATTAAAAAAAAATTAAACCTGATCACGATCATTAAGACAAAGTATAAACCGAATTTTTAAAAGTTCTATTCATGATTTTATGTTTGTTATCAATAACAAGGCAATGAAAAAATAACGGCCCAATTCCCCATGTGCACACTATAATACAGTGTACAACCAACACTTGGTGATCTAACACTTATTATGTGTATAACTGGGCAAATGTTTGCCTTTATAATCATATGAGAGGCGTTTGGGGGTTATCATCTAGTGAGCTCATAGCTCACTGCACCTCTAGTTTTGACTGTCTTTATGGTTTGTTTAGATACTTTACGGGTACATGTGCAAAGTATATACACGTATAAGAAAAAAGAATGGTCTTTAATTAATTTTTCAAATTTTGCTTCAGTATGAAGAAAACGTTACAAAATGAAATTAAATGTTCTGATTTTCATATCAAACACTCTACAAAAAATATACACAGAACAGAGTAAAAGGGTGGAATAAAACACAAGATTTAAACTAAAGGAGTACTGTGAGAAATGAGCTCACTAAGTGATATTTTACTCATTATTATGCGTCTGATCAAAGAGTACAGTAGAAGATGCACAATGGCACTATGGAAGAAAGAATACGTGTGTTAAATTTCATTCAGCTGTATAAGAGGACTTGTGTATAAGTGATGGGTAACTCAGAGCGTAACAGATACTTAGAACCATTGAGCAGTGCCATGTGGGGTGTCTTTTTCGTACCAGCACCTACTTCGACACAGTGCTTTGGTTTTTACCTTCTCATCCACATTACCGCCACCTCCCGCAGTGAGATTAAAACCAGCGATGCAAGGATCAACTGCGACTCTAAGTACTATTACCACTGCACCACGCACCACGCAGGCGATTCAAAACACGTATTTAAAATTAATAACATCCATTTATGTTTTGTCTTCATTTTTTTTAAAATCAGTTTACATTCTTAAGGATATGGTGCAGACTTCTTTTTTTAAATATTCTTAATGAAAAGTGAAGAGAGAAATTCAAACAACACGAATACTAGTAGTCTATCGAATTCTACATTAACTGTTTTAAAGTACAAATAGCCTCAGTAACTGCAATTTCCTCTTCACATAAGTCACTTTCCGGTATTTTTTACACTTTTATCATTTTAAACCCGAAGCAAAACTTAACTTATAATTCATAGCACAGGGTTTTATTCATCGACGAAAAGTTTATCAATTGAGTGAATTTCAGTAGGTTCATCTTCAGATTATTGGCATATTTTACCCGATATATCCATGTTATCAATGTAATTAAACGTCCCCGTGTTTTATTGGCTGGTTAATACTGATCATCAGAGTTAAGGCAGACCGTATAAGGCTTTACTAATTTTACTATCCCTGATAGCATCACATTTCGCCGTATATTCAAAGGATTCGGAAAAAAGTAGACTTCGCTGATTTGAAGATTGAGGAGAAATGAAATGCTGGCTACAAATATAACATTTTTGATTTGTTTTGCTTTAAATTTGACATGAACTACAAAAAAAACTTTGTCAACTATATGCGCATTGATGCAGATTCTGTAATTGAAATTAAAATAGAACTCAACGATGCTTGATTTTTAAAATTGCAACACAATATACTAGAATTTGATACTATAGTTTATAAAAAATTTTATTGAGTGTAATTTAAATTATTGAATTATTGCACTGTCATTCCTCCATCCATGGGAATAGATGTCCCCGTCATATTATCGGCGTCCGGAGAACACAGAAACAGAATCATATTAGCTATCTAAAAGAAACAAAGTGATGAATAAGATTGTATTGACCTATAAAAGAGCTATTTAATACATTTCAAAACAGTTTGAATGTTTTTTTATTTGAAAAATTTGTATTAAAAACACCATGTGTGTGAAACACGGATTCCCCTGTATGGTTGCTAAAGGCAAAGGTTAAAAGTTTTTCAAATGTAGGTTCAACTCCAAGATCTAGATAAAAAGTTTAAAGAAGAAAAAAGTTGATGGTCAAAGAATGGTCTTGTCACAAGGATTGCAATTGTGATCTAAGAAAGCCTTATCATCGGCTATTCAAAAACATGACCAGGTTAGTTTTTCACAAGTATGTCATACTCCAAGATTAAGGTCATGAGAAAAAAAAATGATGAGGACTTGTAACAAAAAGTATTTACCGTAAGTGTAATATGAAAGTCTTAACACCAACCTTTCGAAAATTATGACCAAGATTAAGAATTTTACAGATAGATTAAATTCAATGGTCAAGATAAGAAATATAGAAAGTGTTGGTATCCAAAAAAAGTCTTAATACAAGGAATACATTGGTGATTTATGAAAGTCACAGTAGCCATCGTTCAAAAGTGATCATTAAAATTTTCAAAAGAAGATAGAACTTTAAGGTCAAGGTCAGATGGTCAAGAGGCCCCAAAGAAATGTCATAAGAAATACACGTGTGAAATATGAAAGCCCTAGTACCCACCGTTCAAAAGTTATGGACAACGTTCATGTTTTGCAGACTGAAACAAACGGTTACCCAGACAGACGGACAGACCAAAAGCAATTAACTGGTCCACATCCTTGCTTACCTGGACGTTTGATTTTCATTGACAATTTTCATAGTTTTCATGCAGCTTATTTTTAATATACGAATAAAACATTCAATAAATTGGAGAAGGTATCGTATACGCACCTGGGAGGGTTTATTTACTTTACCGGTCGGTGTGGCATTTGTGAACAAATCATGCTAAAAAAAATACAAAATCTAGGTAACTTTTTTTTATTTATTAGGGATGATTAGGAATATCTGATTTCCAGAGAAAAACTGTTAACATGTTTGTGATATCCTACCTTAGCCTCCTCCAGTGACTTGCCCGATTTCTCTGCCAACAATTTCACCTGAGGAGCTACAACTGTAGAAAGTTTTAATTCAGGTTAGCTTTAATGTACCGAAACTCTCTAAATATGTACACGTTAATATTGATAATTTAAATCTAAGAAAAACCAATGAAATGTAAATGTATAAAGAATGGTAATCCATCACGCACTGTGTACGTATATATAATTACTATTTTTGGTAGCAGTGCATAATTATTTGCCTTTATTCAAAATAATTTTATTGCAAAAGGAAAACTTTTTAAAAAGATTTTTTTTCATTTTTATATTGTGTGTATATGTTTTTAACATACGGGGTGTATCAGTCCATGCCGGACATAAAGCATTGCAGGTTATTCCAAAAGTAGCAGTGTCCATAGCTACGCCCTGAAAAGGGTTGAAAATACAATTAATATACTGATTACTGGGCAGGTTTATGTCACCACATATACATGTTTACCTTTTTTGTCAGTGGAGGTGTTGGGTGACGGTTATTTCAACTGAATTGTATGAAAATAAGTGCCTTGTAGAAGAATCAATGTACACGTTATACATCTCGTAATAAGATTGATCTCGTATGCATGAAATATATGGAGATAAAGAAAAATACCCAAGCCCCAAAGTCCATAAAACAATACAACATTAGAGCAAAGCAAACACGGACCTCCAGAACATCAGAGGTAGGATCAGGTGTCACGTGAAGGAGTAAGCATCCCCTGCCGACCGGTTACACCCGCTGTCCCGTCCATTCAGTGTGTAAATAATGGGCTAAAAATTAGTATGAAAAACGTCCGTCAGCATTTGACTCAATGATAAATTGTATTTGCTGACAAGGTTATTGTTTTGACCATAGAACTTACGAAATGATGACTTTAAACAAGACTGCTGATATTCTTATATCATCAACTTGTTTGTCAATAATTTACTTCGTTTTAAAAATTGATCATACGTAGAGCATGCTCTTGTGTATCGAATCAATTGTGAGATATAAACCCCGTATGCAGGTGATGAAAACATACTGCTGCATAAGTAAGGGAAGTTGACGAATGAAAGGTTAAAGCCATTACATTTATCACAGAGCTTGGTTGTTAGATTACCATGAACGTCTTTTTCAAGTAACATATCTAAATATGAAACAGATGTGTCAGACTATGTGGTATCTTTAATTTCAAGCTTGTCGGGATATATCGTATCGACATAAGAATGCAAATAACCATTGTTAAATTGACAATACGTCGTCGATATATCGATATGTTGAGTTGAAGGCCACAGCAAGTGCTTTCAAGTTTTCAAGTGTTTTTTTAAACTGTTTATTTTGGTAAAATCTTGCGATTTCAAATTTTCCAATAGTTCCTGGGAATTTTTAAGTATCCAATTCTGATTTATACCACTTCTTGAATATATTGTTGCACAGTACTCTTGAAGTTTCTCCTTCACTTCTGTTAATATCTTACTGAGGAATAAAGAAAGAGGCTTGGTTGAACATTTACTGAAACCCGCTATGTATTTTTCTATAAGGAATTATAAGAATTCACTTTTAACGGCTTACAATAAAGTGTTGAGAATCGTTTATTTAGATAATCGCATTGCCTTTAGAAGGTATTAGTAAGGACCGCTTTATCTAAACTGTAAATGGTACAGTATAATTTAAGTAATCCCATCCCCAGGTTTTTTTTAAATCAGCAGATAAGTAATTGAAATTTTTTACAAAACAGTCTCTGAATTCACATATTAATGTGTATATACACGTGATATTTTATTTTAAAAAAAATAGATTTTTATCATATCATATAGGGACAATTTATCAAATCTCAGATGTTCAGGAACCGTGACTAAAATCCTTTACATAATTTTTGATTAAAAATTGATGACAAATTTCGTTGAGGAAAAAAAGTACATGTATCCAGAGAAATTATGTGCTTTTATAATGGTCAACAATTATTTTGAAAAACGTCAATCGGCTTTTGACTTAATGACTGATTTTATTTGCTGAAAAGGTAATTGTATTGATCATAGAACTTACGAAATTATGACTTTAAACGATCCCATAGATATCCAATGTTTCAACGACTTGTTTTATAAATTACCTCGTTTTAGAAATTGTTCAACTGCATACGCACCTGTTAATCAAGCTCTAGCGTATCGTATCAGCTGAGAGATATAAACTCTACATGTTGTTGAAGTTATCACTTTAACCATAAAGATTTGTTGTTGATTACCATTAATGTTTTTTTTTTCTAGTCAAATATCCAAATATGAAACAGATGTGTCAGACTCTTTGGTATTTTTTCAAGCTTATTGTAACACCTTGTCGACATGTGATTGGAAGTAAATATAGTCAACTGATAATATCTAAATGTCGAGTTGATGGCTACAGCGTTTTCTTTTTTAATGTATGAATTTTGAATAATAAATTCTGCCTCATATGAATACAAAATAGGTCTGCTATTGATCAAGCTTGTTATATCATTACAATTATTACTGATCGCAACACTAATAAACATTGGTATCTAAAGCTATATTTGAGACAGCTCGAATTTTCTAAACTGTATTTTTTCAGTGAATAAATTAATTCAATGCTTTACAAGACTCTTTCTTAGACTAAATTGAGAATCTTAAACCATTTGCATGCATGAAAAGAAAATTGATGCATGTCAAGATTTTAATTTCAAATATTTTCAATTTAAATAATGATTTTGAAAGTTGACCTTCTTGGTTGGGGAGTGGATATCCTTAAATACTAAGTATATCAATTAAGATTAATAAAACTGTTTTGAATAGGGAAGAAAAAGAAAACCAACCACGTTAAAAGATTGATATATCTCCTTACCCGCGTTAGTCCCACCAGTCCAGTCTTCGATGATATGTAAGGAGTTTTGTTGGAGTGAGCCATCATTGCTTGGACGGACGAGATGTTGATAATTCTTCCCCAGCCTGTAAATATAAACAATATTAACAATACGTATTTAACAAATAATTCTGTCGTGTATCTTTAAAGAAAAATTTGTTTTGAATCCAGTAGAAAAATTAATAGGTTATTTGTTTTGTGATTGTGTGTCAGTTTGACCACTTAGCTACCTGTCTTTTCGTCTTTGTATCTGCATGTGACTTTAATGTCATTTGTTTTAAAAATGTGTTTTCTTTGAGACTTTGAGTAGGATCTGGGGAAAAACAGAGTAACTGATATTATTACGATATAGTACACTAAAACAAAGATTAAAGTAATCACTCACGAAGTTTAAATTGCTTTAAAAATTATGTTTCTGTGAATCCTTGGGTGATTTGTTTCATTTCTTCCAGCCTCCCCTACCATCCTTATCACTTGGGGGTTTTTAAGAATACAATTACATTAAATATAAAATGTCATATATAATGTATATTATTATTTAATTATATACAATTTAATATACAATAATGTATATTATTATTTAATTATATACAATTGATAATTTTAAGTGTTTACCTTTCTTCTTCATTGATGCTACCGCATGTTTACTAAGCATAAACGGCGTCGTCAGATTTACTTGTATCAAATCGTTCCACTTATCAAGAGGCATCTCATCGACAGGAGCTACATGCTGAAGTCCTGAAACAGATGGTAGAGATGGAAGGGAATTATAAAAATGCATGTTAATAAAAATAATTGAAAATTACACTTCACTACGACTTGATCAAAATAATTCAAAGACGAGTTGGGCCTCCAGAAAGTACAAATTAAAGCAATAAAGGGATTAAATGAAGCACATGTGTTTTTTTGTGTCTTAGTGCAAATGATTTACTATCGATTGTTCGATTTTCTTACTTAAAAAATAAAGAAAATCATTTTAAGCTATCTTGTCAGCGTCGTCACTCCCATTTTTCCTTATCTTGGAATAATGTTATATACCAATGGAAGCATTGATAAATGAGACAAGTGACTTTAGTTGTAACTTAAGATAAATACGTTTACACTTACCGGCATTATTCACTAGAATATCGATGCCCTCTGGAAATAATTGGTCTGCTCTGTTACATAAATCTTCAACATTTTTAGCCTCCCGAAGATCACACTGAATAAAATGCACCTTGCCAACAGCCCTTTTGAACGAAGAAAAGAATCTTTCATTATCGTAAATCAAAGTTAGATTATAATGTCTACAATATGAATGCACTGCCATACCTCTCTGCTGTTTGTCTTTTTTTGTAATTTTTTTTTCTGATGGTTGTTGAAATGGTTTTGGTTTCGGCTATTATGATATGTTATTTAGTTTTATTGCTATAAGAGGAAATAATGCTAATAAAATATTATGAAATTTGTATATTATTCCCTGGCTACATTGATAAAGAAATATGCACGGGATATCTGTACTTTTTAAAGATACAATTTCTCAGTAGCGACGCACGTGCTTTTAATATCCTGCAGAGCTTCTCTGGCCTTCTCTTCTGACCTTGACCCTGTTACTATGACTGAGCATCCATTTGCTGCTAGAAGTTTGGCTGTAGCTTGTCCGATCCCACTGGTTGACCCAGTTATCAAGGCTGCTTTACCAGACACAAACATAACTTTATCCAGAAGAAAAGTTTGAAGAGACTTTTTACAAGCAATATCCGAAAAAATAAATAATCTGTTACATGTACTTCTTTTCTAACTAAATACATTCAAAAACTGAAGTATCTCGCATATTGGTCAGTTTAAATTGTGCCATTAGCTATACATCATTACATGCTATAGTACATACATCTGTTTATATATTTCTAATTTATAAAGTAACTTAATTAATGCATTAACACGAGCCGTTCCAATAGCTATTAGGCTAGTTAATTTCTTAATATACAAATACATGTATAATAATTGGTTCATTTTATTTCTCTCTACTACAATATTAGGAGAGTCAGAGATATAACAATTTGACACGGTTTAAGATAATAAAGGAGTAGAGGGTCGCTTATCTCCAAGAGATTAATAAGATCAAACGTTGCACAGTTTTAAGTAAACTATCTATTTAAAAAGAATTCATCACACGTACTAAATTTAAAGCACAGATTTAACATGCTTTCTTTTATATTTTTCATTACTGTAAGCATCAGACAAAGCTATGCACTTTGTTCTTACCTTATGAATACAGTATGCAGTGTATATTTACCACTTTTGAAAACGAAACAAGACGTTTGTTTACACCGGATGTAGAAGTTGACCTAGTTCACTTTCTTGCCTTATCGTAAAAGCATCACGTGCCCTGGACAATTCGCGGGAACTATTCAATACTCTTTGAGGACATAATATAAATTTTAAAACCCATAGGAAGTGGTTGGCATGTGTCTCCCCCATTATTTAACAAATATTTGCTATATATTAAAAAAATAAGATTGCGGAACATTAGCTGGCTAGATTGGAAATACGAGGCCTAGCTAGGGTTGTCCTAAAAAGTAGTGAACACTTTTGATAATGTTAACATTCAGCCAATACTAAACCAATTTGGCATATCTTTACATTGCTTAATATAGGATGGCCGGTATGGTCTGTCGGCACATAAACAAAGCACGTAATAATTTATGTATGTAACTATTCCAGTTGCACATGTTTCTCTAATATTTTGAAGTATACAATGTTGAATAAAAAAAGAAAAATATTGATATATCAGAATTTTACATAGTTAACATCAGAGGCAGAAGATTGGTGTCGTTATTTTCCAACTGTTTTCTGCAAAAACGTCGTAAAATGCGTTTGCGGTGCAATGAGATGTTACAAAATTGTTCTGAATATGGTTTGTCCACTTCAAAGCACCAATTTGCAATAAATTTTAAAAGTCTACGGTGACAAAAACAAGCAATTCATTCCTTTACATTTTCTAAATAACATACGTTTTCACAACACACACACACGCAGACTACAATGTATTATCACATAAATCAATAGGAATATCATGTATATAATAAAAAAGCAACAAATGTCCACTTCAGAGAAGTAAAACAACAAAGATGAGACATTCCACCATAGAATGTTAGTGGAGAATTAGTTTGTAATTGCATTTGTGTTTCAAATAATGTTTTAACCTCCACATAAATGAATGGCGGCCGCTTGAAACTTATCTGGTGGCCGCCATATAATTTTCTGGCGGCCGCCAAATTAAATATTTTTCTTTCTGGCACTTATCGCATTTCATAGATAAATCTTATTTTCCGTATGAATAGCAAAAGGGCTTGCCAAAATTCTAGAGGCTTCCTACAATGTACATGTAAGTCGCCATTCGAGGACTGTTAAACACACGGTGCAGTGCTTTAAAGAATATGACATGTTTCTTACGCTTCTCGTGCCTCGTATAATTTGTAATTTTATTTGCAACAAATTGAAATATAATGTGATGTTATAAAATTAAATATTTAATAAAATATAATTCGTCTTTTGAAATCTGCTGGTAAAACAACCATTTCCTTAATTTCTATAATTTAATAAAAAAATAGAAGATTATCTTTGTTTACACACAATGTCACATAAATAATTTTGTTGTCGGAAATGACATGTATTTTGAAATATTTCTTAAGATTCTCAATTCCAAGAATACCTAAGTATTCATCCTGTTACACAACTTCAGGTCACCTAAAAAAGTAAAATGTAAGATGAACGTAAATGATTTATACCCGATTTCATCTTTCATAGATCTTCAATCAGAAAAGAAGATAAAAGATTATTTAACATTGGTTTTATTTGAGAATTATGTAGGAAGATCAAAGTAAAAAGGTCAAGGCTTCAAATAATTAAAGCAGTTTACAATATTTGAAGGACTTATAGCAATTGATTAAAGCGTAACATTCCGAAACTCAATGTGAAAAAATTAAAGAGTTTTTTTATCTTTCAAAAACAACCAAATACATAGTCATTTTTATAAGATAAAGAAAGCTTAAGATTTTTAATTTTGACAAACTATGTAAACTAAACGACAGACCTCATATTTTCTGTCAAAACATTTCATTGAAATAAAACACTTGCAAATAATGGTACTTTATCCTGTCCAAGAATGTAAATATTCTTTAAAAATCTTTGATTATTAGCCTATTTCTAATAAGAATATCTCTTAAACATTTATTAAACCTAATTAATTTTTCTGAATATAATTGATTTATCATGAAAATGAAGATCATATTGACCATAAACTTTGCAAAAATGCTGATATATTTATGAAAATCTTTATTATTTACTTTTTGACAATTGCCTTACTTGATTATAAAGTCATCCAATATAGAATCTGTTCTTTCCTATCGACTAACTAAGCTGGAAGACATAGACAATATATGAAGGTGTAAATGGTGTTTTTGCCTCACAAATAAGGAAAATTCACGAGAGAGAAAAAAATAATATGTCATTTACAAAAAAAAAACTCTTAGTTTGCCATTACTATCCTTCTATAGTAAAAAATCCAGCTATAACCCTTCTTTGTCGAAATTTCCAGTTCAATCAAATATGGAGATAACAAAAGATGATCAAGCTCTAATTTGTAATCAGAATAAAATGTGTATACATGTAGTTTTCTGATTTAGTATACATTTAAAAAAACTTTTAAGTGTTCACTTTAATAAATGTATTTATTTAAAAACTACTTTATAGAATGGTATGAGATTTTCAAATTATTACAACAAATAAGTCTTCTCAACAAGTGTAGAAAGAAAATCAAATATCACCGATGAAAATCAATGTTTCGTGACGAAGCTTAAAAACAAGAAATGTGTACTTTTCGGCACGTGTTTTGTGTAAATAGAATCCTTTTGTGACCATTATCAAAAAACTGGTTTCACTATAAAAGCACAAAACATTGGAAAAATGACCATTTAGATAGAAGGGAGAGCCGTTGGAATGTTGATATCTGGACCATCCTTGCACCACGTTTTACTCACTTTTATTTTAGTGTTTAATTGTCCTAGATATTACCTTTCAAAATTAACACCTTTAAAATAGATTTTTCTATAGGCGGTGCGTCATTTTTCTTCGCCAATTTATCACAATTTGAAAGCTTTGGACAAAATTTAACCAAACCGGAAGTGACCTTGATCTTCGTCCGAGGCCAAAATTTCGCGTCACACCAGATTAAAAGGGTGTTAAACTGTCCTGAAAAAGTCTTAGAATCATAAAAACAAACAATTTCAATCGTATGAAATGATAAGAAATCGGTGCTCGTGACTATCTAATATCGGCTCAAGCAGGCTGAATCATCCCTAAAGCGGTGCACTTACGTGCTAAACGCCCAAGGAGATTGACAAAAAAGGCCTCTGTTTGGTGATGCACTGATCTGAATCCCATTGAACACATTTGGGATTTTTATAAGGAATGTCAAACCCCCTCCACACAATATAAACGGTTTGGAAAAATCTATATAGTAGATGTGGCAGCAGATGGGTCAATCTCCTAGTCAGGGGTACATGGTATCCTACAGTAAAGGATGTCTTGCAGTAATTAGAGCGAGTGGTTGTCTTACTCCATAGAGATTATTTTGTGTGAATTTTCATTATGAGGGTACATCATTTCCTTCACACTTTGCTTAAAATTCTGACAAGATACTCTCATGAAATTTACGCAACATCGAACTGAAAGATGCATCATTAATCATGAATTAAAGAAATTATTTATTTTATGCATTTGTTCTTTAAAACTTGAAAAATGTTAAGTGAACACTTAGAAGTTTGGTACAGTGTACTATATTTGCCTTTTTGTGGCTATGTATCTAATTCTGACTGGATTATTAAAAGGGCACTAAAACTAGCCTAGTTTTTTTTAACACGATCACTAAGGACTATTTCTTAAGACTTTTGTTGTTTTGGTTCCATGTAAACGATAAGTGTTATAAAAACAGCCAGTTCCAAAACTATCTCTGGAAAATGTATTATGGAACCCTGGATAACAACAATGAAATCTCTTTAAACATGATAATCTGATTTTCTGTTGTCCTGAAAATATTAAGTACTTATCTAGTGCTTAAAATTTCCAAAATTTCTCTAGAGTAAGTTTCAGAAGTAAACAATCACATTAGACTTACTCGTTTTTCGCAGGGCAAATTGCTGCACAAAAACGATGGAAAAAACCTCTAAAATTTCAAATTTTGTGTAAATCCATATGGCACTGCCAAGTTTAGAAGGTTTTAGCCGTCTAGGTTGGTAGTATTATTTCCGTTTCCTAGAAACTACATTTTCATGTTTGAGTACCAATCACCACCACCAAAAATATTAGTACCCAAATATGTAATGTCAGTTCATCAAGTAAACGTAACAAAAGGAAGAAAAGTTTCTTTATAAAGTTGAAAGTTACATGTATTGGTGTAGAATTATAAACAAGTTTTAATTCTCATTCAAACCTGCTAACTGTAGGATCCGTTCCTCAAAGATGCTGCCAACAGTTGCAAAATACCACCCTATTGGAGAAATCGGTGACAAGTGTTAATTGTCCTTTTATTGGGTTCACCTGAAACACCGGACAGGATGTCTTGGCCAGGCTACTTGTAATTAAACTGTCTACTTCATTCCATGCCTTTTATCTTTCAGAGAGATCAATCAAAAGTAAATACGTCTTCGGATTTATATATTCTTATTCTTCATTAACAAAAGGCTAAAATTCCATGTATCCATTTGAAAAGTACTCCCACGAATTTGTCCAGTTGCTGAACATTGCTTCGTCTTTTATCATTCTACATATTTAAAAGAATTTTTTTACCAATTTAGAAGAGAATGATTGTAACTGTTATTTGCCTCAGCATCGCGGTTCTTGGACTGGCCTTTGGTCAAACTCCTGAACAAGTCCAAAGTCTTTTCCGCAATCTTTTATCAGGTTATGACAGAAAAGTTCGACCAATTGCAGACCAATCGTTCCCGGTGGTTTTGGATGTCAGCTTTAATCTTAGAAGTATCATCAGAGTTGATGAAGTGAACGAGAAGCTTGAAACCTCGGGATATTTATCAGTACTGTGGGAGGACGCGATGCTTACATGGGACCCTGAAACTAACGGCGGAATTGAAAGAATTTTTTTACCCCAGGTTTGTATCACTTTATAAATCTATCGTTAAAAAAGTCCAACTAAACAATATCATTTCTTATCTGAGCATAACAAACATGTTAAGACGCCGAAGACGGCATCAGGTACAATAAGGGAGTAATCATCGATTGTTCACCATCCGCGAGGACCTTGTCATAATCGGGTACAAAGGAGAAATCTTATAGTAATTTAGCATTTAAAAACAGTTATAAATTGTATGAATAATGTCATCCAACATAAGATCCAAATCCAACTCTGAAACACATGTGTCAAACTCTATTGATTGATTGATTGTATGTTGTTTAATGCCCCATACCTTGTGACATAAATATCGAATTTAATGTACAATTGTATGAATGAAAATGAATATTATACATTCATGGACTCTTTTGATTGTGAATATGGTTTCTTATTCACAGGGAAAATATAAATATTGACCATGGGAAAGCTGCGAGTCCACAATTGTTTTATTATATAGTTAGGATTTGAATGAATGTGACATTGAATGTTGCATGATGATATATTTTCTTTAACGAACTTAAGGTATATTGCTGCATAACTAAAAAAAGTTGACGATTGAAAAGTTAAAATCAGCTCGTTTGTCATAAAGCTTTTTTGTTAATTTACTATTAACGTCTTTTTAAAGTAAAGTATCTAAACATGAAACAGATGTGTTAGACTCTGTAGTATCTATTATTTCAAGTTCACTGGGATAAACTCCAGTATTTTATCGACGTAAGAATAGAAATAACCATTGTTAATTGACAATACGCCGTCGATATATCTAAATGTCGATTTGAAGACCACTGTAAAGTATCAGTCACATTATCCAGCGATGGGGTATACGATGAGAAACCGATGTGTTTTTTTTTTGATAAAATGGCCTGGTTGCCGGTGTAACGACGAAAAGTGACCCCCGTAGAATATTGACCGGGGGTCATTTTTCTACGTAGAAATTTGACTCTCTGGTAAATATTCTACGTATAAAAATGACCCACTTTTCTGTAGAAATCATGGCCTTGGGGTCATTTTTCTCCGTGTGCAATGTAGAAAATTGACCCCGTAGAATAATGACCCCTTGTCATTTTTTGATGCAAAAACAATTCGTTTTAGAAGGAATATTCTTGTTTGGCGAATGCATACGGGTAATATCAAGCTGCCTTTTGCAAAGTGTTAATTTCTGAAAGCTTTTAAGCTAAAATAAGGAAATCAAAGCTATAAAATACCTTACTTTAATGATACATACTGTTTTATCCCCACTAAAGGAAAACGTTATCAAAATGTTCTAACAAAAGGCTATAAGAGCAAAGATACGAGATTTCATAGAATACGTTTATTATACAGTAAGTTTCCACAGCTGCCATTTTAATCTTAAAAAGGTTCTTTCTAAATTTCCAGTTCGTTTGTACCAAACCAAATCTCAAATCTCTGTGTGCGAAGACGCAGAGGACTATGGGTAGTATAGGTCATTTCTAGCTGGTGTCAGAAAAAAGTTTCCGTTATCAATCAATTATAAATCTCTTTGATTTTATCTTGGATACATAATTTTTCAAAAGCTTAACGTTTTTTATCCCTTCTTTTAAAACTGGCACGAAAAAGGGTTCCAGCTTTAGAAAATTCGAATATTTGATTTTCTTTGAATGAAGTTTCAAAATTCTCTTGGAAAAAATAGGGATGATTTAATTTGTAAAAATAAGTACGAAATTAAATTGCCTCTGACCTACATGTATAATACAAGGGAAACAAAAAGTTATTAGCTCAAAGCCTATAAAATGTTTTTGTCGTTTGCTAGTGTCAACTAAACCTTAACAAAATGGGAGTTGTGGTAAAAACTGTGGTTTTGGATGATTAACTTAAAAAAAAGACGTGCTCGTCTTTCCAAAATGGGCGCATACATTATCGTTTTGTCCGTTCTATCATGTTTTCTACCAATAGAAAAAAAAACAAATTTTGAATGATGAAAAAGTTGTTGCTTTACATGTTATACTTATGCCCCCGTAAACGAAGTTTCGGGGGTATATAGGTTTTTTACCTGTACGTCTGTCTCTTTGTATATTTGTCTGCAAAAACTTGAACCTTGCCCATAACTTTAGACTGGGTAGGACTATGGCTTTCATATTTCACAGGTGTATTTTTGTGACAAGACCTTTTCTATGTACAATCATGTTTGACCTTTTGACATTGACCTTGGCGTTTGACACACTTTTACACAAGAAGATTATGGAGATACGAACAGTATTCAATATCAAAGTCCATAAAACAATACAAAATAGGAGCAGAGCAAACACGGACCTCCGAAACATCAGAGGTGGGATCAGGTGCGATGGAGGAGTGATCATCCCCTGCTGACCGGTCACACCCGCCGTGTACTCTTTGTCATGATCAGGGAATAACGGAAAAATCCGCCGTCAATTCAGTGTATGAATAATGAACTAACAATTATTATGAAAAACGTCAGTCAGCGTTTGACCCAATGATAAATTGTATTTGCTGACAAGGTCATTGTATTGACCATAGAACTTACGAAATGATTACTTTATACGAGACTGCTGGTATTCTTGTTTCATCAACTTGTTTGTCAATAATTTACCTCGTTTTAGAAATTGTTCATACGTAGAGGATGCTATGGCATATCGAATCAACTGAGATATATATACACTCCGTATGCATGTGATGAAGGTATATCGCTGCATAAGCAAGGGAATTTGACGATAGAAAAGTTAAAGTTATCACATTTATCATATAGCTTGGTTGTTAATTACCATTAATGTCTTTTTCAAGTAAAATATCCAAAAATGAAACAGATGTGTCAGACTCTGTGGTATCTTTCATCTCAAGCTCACCAGGATATATCGTATCGACGTAGGAATGAAATTACCATTGCTAATTGACAATACCTCGTAGATATATCTAAATGTTGCGTTGAAGGCCACAGCAAGTGTTTTCTTCTTTTCACGCATTAGAATTGCACAAATTCAGCTTCATATGAATATAAAAAGAGATCTGCTAATAACAGAACACAATTGCTACCCATGGGAATTCCAATAGATTGTTGGACTACCTTGTCTTCAAAAACCACATAGATATTGTCAATCAGTAACTCAAGCATCTCTTTCATGTCAACTGCGGAGTACTTGTGTGTGTAACAAGAATGGAGTTTAACTAAATAATTTGGAAATGACCAATGACCAGGTAAGAAAATTTAAGAGTTCCATTTTTATTAAAAAAAAAAAAAGCAGCTGTCAATGATATCAAAATTCCTGGTTCACACCACTTTTTGAATATATTGTTGCGCAGTACTCTTGAAGTTTTTCCTTCACTACTGTCAATATTTTACTGAGGAGTAACGAAAGAGGTTTGGTTGAACATTTACTGGAACCCGCAATGTGTCTTTGTTTGGAATCCAATATATATATATATATAGGATAATTCAAATTCATTTTGGCTCTGTAGAATATTAAAAATATTTAAAACTGACATATAATTTTGAAGAATTTCTTCCTTAGGAAGGGAAGTATGAGTATAAGTAGAATTACTACTTGTAAATTAAGTACAAATTCTTCTAAAATACAATTTAATGAGCCTCACAAACGAAGACAATGTTGTCACCTGGTTTGGCGGCAGGGACCAGTACGTACTGATCATGTAATCTATCTAATCTTTATTTCACTTCTTGATTATTTAACACAGAAGGATAGGTAGTTTTCATATTGCCCCTCAATCTTTTAATACGCGGCTTTAACATGGATCTGATATATTTAATATATTCTGGAAAAAAATCTACAATCCACACTTTTACTTTTGCATTAACGTTTGGACGGTATGTGCTAGGACTGTGGAAGTAATGGCATGACTAAGACTTCCTTAATAATTTGCAAAGGTAGTGTCTATAAAATTTCAGAAGAAAGGGGTTGTAACAGCAACTATTGGTCAGGTGTCTGTGGGCTAAAAAAAAGTGTTCAAAAGGGATTTTTAAGTTCTTTTTTTAATTTTTAGATATCACTGAAGGTCGAACTATTATTCACTCAGATGTATTTTTTGTGCCAGTTTTGGAGGAAATTTTTAATATCATTATAAGAACGTTCTCTATGTGTATGGTATTTCCTGTATATAAAGGAAAAAGTATAGTACTATATGGAAGGTAGTTAAAAAGTGTATATTTTAAAGCAAAATAATGCATACAGATGTATATGTTTTAAGGTAAGAGCTAAGGTAATTGGATTTATATAGTTAAATAACGTTGCTTTTCTTGCTTCTGTGCTATGTTTTTGGATTTGTAAAAATTTTCAAAGTTTATAGTTATCAGAAACATATCATGCCATTTCGGAATAAAACCTTTGAGTGATAAAAAACACCTTAAAATATAATCATAAATTTATGCTCCTGAATGAATAAATATTCATTGGGATTCTGCAAGCCAAAAATATATCCATACCAGATAAATTGATTGTGATGCTACTTTAAAGATATGCAATTGAATATATGTTGGAAAGGATTAAAGTACATAAAAAAATTTCCCTTACTTGCATTTGAAAGTATGAAAAATATCAGGAGACACATATACAAGGTTTCATTGTATAAAAAAGTAGGGGGTCAAATTTCTATGGGGGTCATTTTTCAACGTGTGTGGAGTCGTAGAATTACTGGTCTGGAATGTTTTTCTACAGTCGAAAAATGACCCTACTTGCCGTAGAAAATTGACCCAGGGTCACACGACGAAGTGTGACCCCCTGGTCAATATTCTACGGGGGTCACTTTTCGTCGTTACACCGGCCGGACACCTGCAGTATTCGGACGGTGACTGAGGCCATATCTAAAACGAGGTAAATTATTGACAAACAAGTTGATGAAACAAAAATATAAGCAGTCTCGTTTAAAGTCATCATTTCGTAAGTTCTATGGTCGATACAATGACCTTGTCAGTAAATACTATTTAACACTGAGTCAAATGCTAACTGACATTTTTTATACTAATTGTTAGTCCATTATCTATACACTGAATTGACGACGGATATTTTCGTTATTTCCCGATCATGACAAGTAGCACACAGCGGGTGTGACCAGTCGGCAGGGGATGCTTACACCTCCATTGCACCTGATCCCACCTCCAATGTTTCGGAGGTCCGTGTTTGCTCTTCTCCTGTTTCGTATTGTTTCATGGAATTTTGATCTTGAATACTGTTCGTTGTCTCAAGGTTGTTTCATGTAGGCATCTTTCATTTACTTGATCTTGACCTCAGTTATTAGGAATGAAACAATTTTATCTTTTTTGCTAGGACATATAGCTTATCATAAGTATCAATAATACATGTAATTTTTTGTGTTGAGAGGATATTTATGGGCATTATAAATATACCTGTTATCCAAGCTATTCAATATTCTGAATAACAATTGTTTAAACCAATAGTAATAAATGTCATCATCTGTATCTTCATTTTATAGAGTACCATTTGGATACCAGATCTGGTACTCGGTAATGGATTTAAAAAGTTTGAAGAGTTTGGAGGAAGCTTTTATTTTGTAGACATTTTGAGCTCAGGATATGTATTATGGCAGCCTTTCGAAGTATTTGAAAGTCACTGCGCCATCGATACAACTTACTTTCCGTACGATAAGGAAGTCTGCGGGATTGAATTCCGTATTTGGAGTTCGACCGTTCATACTGTAGATATTCGCATATCTTCTGAAGGAGTCGATCTTTACGGTTACAAGGAAAGTGGCGTTTGGAAAATAACACATACAGAAGCTAAAGTAGGTGAAGACACGGAGGGATCTAAGGTCACATTTTATCTCCATATGGAGAGGAAGCCTCTATACTATGTACTCAATATTATAGTTCCTATCTTGTTTCTCGGATTTCTCACAATTCTTGTTTTCGTTTTACCCGTTGACAGCGGGGAAAAGATGTCCTATGCGATGACTGTCTTTCTCTCGTTTGCCGTTTTCCTCACCATCATCAATACCCAACTACCCGTTAGTTCAGACAGTACCTCTGTTTTAAGTTTTTATATTTTACTTCAGATGTCGATGGGCGTATTGATTTTGGTAATCACGGCCTTGCAAATTCGTCTGCACCACAGGGATGCAGCTGTTCCAATATCCACAGCATTTGTAATATTGGTGAAGTTCAAAAAATGCATGACGTGCTCAAAATCTTTTCCATTATCCAAAAACGCCGTTGGATCTCTGACGACTTTAGATGACCAAGCAAGTAATAACCTAGAAACAAGTTGCAAAAAATGGCCAGAGAAAAAAGTTGAATGGAAGGATGTTACAGCTGCTTTAGATTTCTTTGCTTTCCACTTCTTCCTGATTGTGTATGTTATTTTAACGTTCATTTTATTTCTTTTAATAGCATATTAATGCTGATATTATTCTGTTTGAAGAAAAACCATTGGATCTCAAATGGAATTTAATTTTCAGTGAAAACAATAATACATATTAGTATATGTTACATTCTAAATATTATTTAAGTTTCGTTATCTCCTTTTCATTAAACTACAATGTATTTTGATGTATTTTGATGAAAAATAATATATATTTTGTTTTATATTTGCTTTTAGATATTTTTCTGTTTGCTTTTAGAAATGATAAAGAAATATATATAAAGTTCACTTCAGGTTTATGTTTGCCTTTCATTCTTTCGATACTTTACTTAGTATCTAATTTCTCTTGCTGTTAGAAATAATAATTTTTTTTCATATATTGAAGTGTGAATATTTGCTGTCCGTGTTGTTTGAATTTTTTTTATTTCCAGGAGAATATTTATTTAGTCATTAATTAAATGTACACATCTCACAATACTTTGCTTACGTTAACATGATAAAATGCTGTTTGATGTTAACTTAATCTTACATTTTTAAAATAATCCCTTGACTTAATTTTTCACAGAATTCATATTTTTGATATTATGACAGCAGTTGAATGATAAGGGTTCCTCTTTATTTTAGCCCTTTTAAAAATAAGTGATTGAAAGTCTTTATTATCATCTACATTTATATTACCAGTCACGACGTGTCCAACATGACTATATAGATTTAGGGTGAAGAACATGAAAACGTTGGAGAATTATGTTTTAGATGAACGATTTCTAGGCCCTGTAGAATTTAGAAGCAAATGTTGAGGTATATATTCAAAAGAAATATAAGGTTTGGACTTAATTTAAGTTGAAACATGGTGGAATACAAGACTGAGTCTATGATTTGCAATATCAATAATCACAGATTCGAGCCAGTATTCTGGTGTAGAAGAATCCATATATGGACTTTATTTGACTTTTTCAAATAGAATTTTTGAATCTGTCAAATTGATAGCGTAAAGTTTGGTGCAAATAAAAAATCTTATAATTATAAGATTGTAGTGAGTCAAAGGAAACATTATGTTTATTCAGGACCGATACTGTAGACTGAAAAAATTCCCAACACTATCAACATTGCCATTGTATTCATATAGAAAAGCCGTACCTATATAATTTTCTAATTCCATATTCTTCTTGTTCTCTACGAAAAGGTATATTCAGTGATGTGGAATTTGTTTTCATTGATAAGATAGAATGACAAGTTAAATTAAAGTGAGTAAAAAGAAGTTGTGAGCCTCATTGCTTATTTGAAAACCATAATAATTTTATCTCAACTGAATCCATGGTTTCACCAGCATAGATGATCCCACATAGATTACATTCTATTCCGTAGACAACATTAGAAGATTTGCATATTAATGATCGATCTAAAAAAATCTTTAAATAATACAAATCTGTGAACAGGGCATTAACACGGATGTTTCATATGTGGGAACAGGTGACTAGGATGGGTAAGCATCATCTGTAGACCAAAAGATCCGCTATGAACCCTATGGATTGATTATGTAGATGGAGCATTCCACAGTCGAATTCAGTTTCAAATCAAGTCAGCCAAAACAAGACCAAATGACAAATGACACTTTACGAGATATTAATATTTGTACGAAGGAAGACCTTTAGGTCACAAAGAATTTGACATCGATTTACTAAAATTAACCTTGTTTACAATAAATAAATACTTTTACGAATTTTTTTTTCACATTGAATTGTCTACAGATCTTTCCATTAAGGGCCCGATCATAACGCGGACCAAACGGAATCTGTTACCTGTCAACAGTAAACGATTATGCCTCCATGGCAACTAATCCCACCTCCAATGATTTTAAAGGTCCGTGTTAGCTCTGCGTATACAGCATCAGTCAACAATCGACTCAATGATAAATAGCAATCGCTGCATTTGCAGCATAAAATACATAATTTGCGATATGCTGCCTTTGAACGAGATTGATTTTTTTGTTTTTTGTGATATCAACTTATTTGTCAAAATCTTACCTATTTTTAAACTGCTTCCGGAAAATTGTTCTCTCCCATAGGTCATTTTAATTAAATTGAATTGATTTTATATGATAAAAAACGAAACCATATAATCATGCGTTAATAATTTATATTAATCAAAAAACATACAATTTCATTTCCTTTACAAAGAGATTCTCCTATAAAAATAAAAATGCTAACATATGCCAGAATCAGATGTGGACACTGAAAATAATTTATTTCATTTAAAAAATCGCAAAGAGATCTTCGTGTAAATATCAGATCCGCGTCCTTACATTCGTCATTATACATTCTGCTCATGCATTCTGTGACCTAAAAGAAACATAATAAATAGTATCTACTTCTCTGTTCGAATTGTTGATTTTTAATTTAGTGAGCACACCCAGCCGAATCAGTTTACAAGTAATTACTGTAGTACTCATTAGTGAATATTTTTTATTTAAACTTTATGATATTAAGATTGTCAAAGCAAGAAAACATTGCACGATGAAAATTACATATGCAGTATATTCTGAAAAAAATTCACATGTATGTATTATTAATATAATGTTCAGTACCGTGATATAATCTGTCATGCAGCAAGTATAGACACCAAACCAGTATAATCAATCCGGTGGTAATTGTAACAAGTACTCTATTTTAGGAAGAAAAAGTACAATGCATCAACAAAAACATACAAACTCACAAAACCAGTTTCATATTAAAGTATATCTGAAACAACTTACATGGGTTTTTGGATGGTGTTAAAAGCACAAGAAAATCTTTGATGGTCTTCCTCTATAAATATAAGCTATTGAATGATGACATGGTTTTAGTTAATTTTATATTTCAATTTAAGATATTTTAATCAACTTCAGTTATTAAAACGGAAAGTCATACCTGGTTGCTTTCTCTGTTTGGTTTCATTTACTTGAACCACGCTGCAAATTTAAGAAATTGTACGAAATGAGTTTTTTACCACTACATGATTTGTAGAACTTTTGAAGAAGCTTTTTATTTTTAAAATATTTCGTAGTAAAACTGAATATTTGGTTGTTATATACATTTTTTTCCTAAGTTGACTATGAAAAGTATCGTACGGAAAAAAAAACAGTTTAATGAAAATGCATTAGAAGAATGGCAGAGGTGCATGGGGGATAAAATATCTAAGGGGAAGGGTGGGTTTTAAAAAATCACATCGTTCAATTTACAGATTCAAAAGGAATATTCTAGCAACCGCATACAAGAAATATCAAGAATTTTTTAAGGACATATTTATGACTTCAATGAAGCAACTGTCATCTTTGTATGTAAAAATAATCGAAAAAGAGATATTTATGGATAAAATGCAATAAAGACAGTTGATTAACCCCAGTAAAAGGTTTACGAATTCTTTCATAAAAAGAAGACTTTATTTGTTTTCTGCTTGTCATGGCCATTTAATAATTTTAATTGAAAGATTATATGGCAGCAAGGTAAAAAATAATGATAGAAATATCTTAAATACAAGTGAAAAAACAGTACCCCCCGGAGAGCTAAAAAATTACCAAATGGGAGGACAAATTAGCTCCGCCAAAACAAGAGGCTGGAAAGTAACAACAGCACAAATTTGCACAAATTAGGTACAAAAAATATAAGTTTGAAATGGGACAAGGGACATAGTCGCATGACCCATCCTCTGTTTTGTTAAAAGCACAAATCGTGCACAAAAGTACAAATCGCACCAAATAACCAAATTGGTAAGTGAAAGGCACAAATTGCGCCTTCAGATTGAAATTTGAAAATTAATGCAAATTGCATTGAAAATGATATGACTCGCACACTACTCATGACAAGCATGCAGAAATGTTCACAAAACAAAATTACACAATTGATATCATTATTCAAATTTTAAAATTGTTTTTAATAGTTGTCCTTTGTCTAATATGTGGATAAATGGGATTTGACCCAAATGTACCACAAAAGCACATGCACTATTAATCCTATTTCAACTAAATTTGCAAGGCAATTTATCAATTATTTTGAGGCAAAATATGTGACCATATATGTAATAAAAGTTTGTGGGAATTAAGTAAATGTTATTTGAATTGCAAAGTTGTGTCATAATATAAAAATATATATGAAGGTAAATTTACAACAATGGTCTTATGTAAGATTTGCAGGCTGCTGATGTAGGGTTTTATCACCTTTACACGTATCAATATACAAACATATCGTATCGAAAATTTACTTCCATCATGCATTTTTTCTTCTAATTCTGTTAAAAAGACAACCCAAAGATCATATTTCACTAATTAAATCTGTTAAATAATCATTCAATTTTTTAAGGCAATAACACAGTTTTTAGAATTATTACTAAAGCATAGACAATTTTAATTTAAAATGTTGATTTTACAGTCATTAAAAGTTTTGATTAAAAAATCTTTGCGTCTGCTTCGTTCAATTTACAGATTCAAAAGGAATATTCTAGAAGACATGCGCATACAAGAAATATCAAGAATTTTTTAAGCACCGAGCCCGATGATTTATGACGTTCAATGTTAAGAAACTAAGAGTTATCTATCTTTGCATGTAAAACATTAAGCTACACGAAATAACCAGGTTTATCCATATTGGATAAACCCCATTATTAAAATAGAAAGTCATACCTGATTGTTCTCTCTGTTTGGCTTCATTCACTTGAACCACGCTGCAAATTTAAGAAATAGTACGAAATTATTTTTTCCCGTTAAAAATCTATCCTAGTAAAACTGAATGTTTGGTTGTTATTATCTTTTCTGCTAAGAAAAGGTTAATGAATAATCATCATGAAAAGTTATTGTACCGTTTGCAATTGCACGGGTCATGTCCGATAAATCCTCTGGAAGAATCACATCTACATCTTAGTCTGCAACCGGTCTTCGGGAATGTTGTGGAAAACGCTGCTTCTATATTAATTTTCAAAGCTTTGTATAAAATGTTTAATATTATAAGGATAATCAAAAAAGATATTAATCATTAAATGTAATAACTACTGATTTTTTAATATGAAGATTTTTCTTTATAGTAAATTCAAAAAGTGAAGAAAAAAAATAAGTGATGGACATCTTTAAAAATAATACCTGGAGGACAATTAACTTCAAAACAAGGGACTGGGAAGCCAGAATTTGTAGAATCCAATAGGTAACTTTTAGATGGACATGGCAGACAAGTATCCTCTGTTTTGTTCACTGAACAAGTTCGAACGTATGATCCTACGGTAAAAAAAAAAAGAAAAACATAAGAATACTATTCTAATTTGCATTCATTTCTCATTCATTTTTTTCATATTTGTTATTTGTCTACCAATTAAGGCTCTACAAATGTACGACAAAAACTAAATTTCAACCATGTTGGATTTATCTTGAAATTGATTGTCTGGGTTTTTTTCTTAATTTATTTAATTTTTGTGTACAGGTACCTGGAGAACATGTTACACCTTTACAGCAAACAATGGTCCCATTCTGTCCATCATGACGAAATAAACCCTCTGGACAATCAGCAGTGGAGAAAGTCTGGAAAAAAGTAATTCATGAAATCTTTAATCTTAACTACAGCTCGAGTAAACTCAACATGTTTGATATTTTGTTCTTAAGAAATGATGTTCGTAAGAAATGCTAAGTTAACTGAAGATGTGAGGATAGCAAGCATTCATGATCGACAGCTTTAATTTTTGTTTTATATTACCGGTATGCTGTGACGCCTTAATTGTTACTCCATATTCTAAGAATAGTCCCTATTCTAGGAAGATGATCTACTGGTTGGTGCTGAAGCTGAATATTGTACAATAATAGTTGGACAACACAAATGATAACCTACCATGAAAACTGTGACGATGAGAGTAAGTTTCTTAGTTTTGTAAGGTTTGAAGACCTTCCGTCGGACGAAACTGACATTAAGGATCAAACAAACCATATCAAACAAAACCTGTAACAAGCAAAAAACTTAATGTTACAAAGTAACAATTCCCAATAAAATATCGAACGTGATTCATTTCAAATCAAATACCTTGAGGACTATGGCGGAACATACTATCTTGGTTAGACTTCCAGAAGAAAGTAGAGACCTACAGAAAAAAGTGCATATTTAAAGCAATGTTTGTTCCAGCTGTTTAGTAAATTAAAATTAATTGTTCACTGAAAGTACCCATGGATGAATTGGAGTGTTATAACATTCAAATTTAATTTTTTTTTCCTTTCTTTTGTTTCAGACATGCTCAAACTGCGTATTTAGATATTTATCACTTACAACAATTTAAATCCATTGTTGTGTGTCGCCAAAATGCCTTTAAAAGTAAACAATATGCACAACAAAGGTGCTACTGTAGTTTTTAACCACGATAAATTCTCTCCAATGCAGAGATTGTCGTTCATCTTCTTTTATGTTGCTGAAAAATATTTAGTGAAATAAATATTGCGTGATAAGAATGGCATGTATTTATATTTATACCTGAACTGAATTCTACTTTCGTTTTAAAATATTTGAAAATAAATTAAAAATAAAAATAATATACATACAGGTAGCTTTAAGATTTAAATTGATTTTACCAACATATTTTATTCATCTTAATATTTATCTTATTTGAAGTGTAAAGATACTTAATATTATATAAATTAAGATATTGTTTTAAATTTTATAAACATACCTTTTTTGGGTCAGGTATTTCCGAAGGTATTATATATAGATATAGATATATATAGATATAAATATATACGTAATGCTACACTGGAGAAACGCAACAGAAAGAAAAATACAAAAACAAGACTACTTTTAGTGATTTTATTTAATTATGATTTTTAAAAATATCTTAATCACAAATAAAATTAATGTCGTGTGAATGATGAAAACGAACGCTAGTTTTTATTTCAAGTTGTCCATTAATTGTTAATATTCTTATTAACAGACATATACAAAAATCAGAAAACTGAAGAAGATCAGATTCATACTGTAGTAGATTCCCCACATGAACATTTTGATAATAATGAAAAAGGGGAAAATAACGAAAAATGATTAATATTTTTAAAAAAAATTGTTGACGAGATATGAAACAAATAAACAAACAAAAAATGTGTGGGACTAAAGCACAAGCACGCTCGACCATGTATACATGACGGCATAAACATGTATTTTCAAATGATGCACTTATGAGATATTGAAATATATTTTATAAAAAATGTTATAAAGATAATGAAATAAATAAATTGTTTATCATTTAATCTTGTTTTTTAATGTGAACAAACACTTTCATAAATCGGGCTTTTTTGGAAATTAATTTAAAGTTTCGAAAGAAGTAAAAGCACAGGAACATAAAATGAACAACCCAAGTTAGTTTGGTAAAGTATCGTACATAGATTATGAGATTGAGCTCTTAATATTACCGGGGTATTATAGACAACCGTTTATTCGGTATTCATTGAAATTTAATTTGATAAGTAAATTAACAATTAAAGAAATGTTTCATTTGTATATAAGTCGTTAAATGTTCAGATATTTAGTACTATTTTTCTGTAATAATAGTCTGAGAGATTTCATTTTTTCAGCTGATATACCAAATTCAAAGCAATAAAATTCGAGGGTCTATGAAAAAGAAAGTTTTGATAGAAACTGATATGTCTGATAAAAAAATAAAATAGATATAATTCCAACAATCTTTCAATATTAAAAAAAAAAAATCAGCCATAGTTATCCATTTTAATGAAATCTGAAGAAAAAAAAACAAATTTTCAAATTTTAATTTCATATTTGAATGAAAGAAAAATTGTCTATATATTTGAGTATGCGATGACATCCAAAGTACCAGTATATTTCAATGTGTATTTCATGGTGAGCGAGAGATACCTAAGCTTCTTTGGTTTATTAATTGACTGATCAATGATATTATTGATTTGAATAAATTAATAATATTTGAAAAATTGATTTGATTGACTGATTAATACATTGATGCATTGAAAAAATGAGTGATTTATTTATCTTTTAGATAAAATCCAAAAGCTGAATACATATCTTTATATGATAATTATGTAGTCTCATTGATTTCATTGACTAAATCTGAGTTGAATTATAATTTGATTTTTTGTAAATATTGTCAGATGATGTGATTTTAACAATGAATACGAGTACTTTGTCCTACCGCTGAATGTTTGTGATGACTAAAGCATGCAAAATCGTTGGTAAATTTCAGATTTAATTCCCCAATTCCACATTAAGCTGCTTTTCCTGTTAGCTCCCCACTTTACTAAATGTCGATAACCTTATGAAAGAGTTCAATCTTGATAACAGCGTTTAATCATAGGGTATTTTAAATTCTTCTTTCCCATCAACTGACAAATTAAACATCTCTTTTTCCACTTAAAAAGTATTCACATGACTTACCATGCTGTACGTAAAAATATTTTGCCTTTTATAGTTCAACAGTTTAAGACAATTCATTATTAAATAAAGAATGACTGTGGCGGTGCTTTATCTCACTATTGCAGTTCTTGGACATGCATCTGGACAGACTCCTCAACAGGTTAAAAGTCTTATCACTGATCTGTTCTCTAGCTATGACAAGAGGATCCGGCCGGTGTCTGACCAGTCATTACCTGTGATTCTGGATGTCAGCTTAAACCTCATCAGCATCATCGGAGTAGATGAAGTGAACGAAAAACTGGAAACCTCGGGATATTTAACAGTACAGTGGCAGGATTCCATGCTTACATGGGATCCTGCAGTTAACAATGGCATTGAAAGAATATTTTTGCCTCAGGTTGGTATACACATGTATTTCAAACAACGAAACGTTAAAAATAAGAGTGAAATTCATACATTTCTGCTCTCTGGATTCATAACTTACTTGCAAACATTTTACTTTGTATCAAGATTTGTAGGGGATAAAAACAATACATGTTTCACTTAAAAAAAAACAGTTTATTAAAGTTTTGGTATTTCAAAAGTTAGACAGTATTGCTCGACCATTAAACCCATGAGCTCTCAAATGATAACTGCCATAGTAACTTGTTATTCTAACCTTATATTGACTCTAGATTTTTGTCTTTCAGAACGAAATTTGGAAACCAGATCTAGTACTCGGTAATGGTTTTAAAAAGTTTGAAGAGTTTGGAGGAAGCTTTTATTTTGTTGATATTCTCAATACAGGCAATGTATTATGGCAGCCTTTCCAGGTATTTGAAAGTCACTGCGCCATCGATACAACTTACTTTCCGTACGATAAAGAAGTCTGTGAGATAGTGTTCCTTGTTTGGAGTTACACCGTTTTTGATGTGGAAATTCGTAAATCTGCTGAAGGAGTCGATCTTATTGGCTACAAAGAAAGTGGCGTTTGGGAAATAACACACACAGAAGCCAGAGTAAGCAAAGACTCGGTAGAATCTAAGGTCACGTTTTCAATCCATCTGAAGAGAAAGCCTTTATACTTTGTACTCAATATCATAGTTCCTATCCTGTTTCTCGGATTGCTCACAATTCTTGTTTTTGTTTTACCCGTTGACAGCGGGGAAAAGATGTCGTATGCGATGACCGTATTTCTGTCTTTTGCAGTTTTCCTTACAATCATCAATACCCAGTTACCCGTTAGTTCAGACAGCACGTCAGTTTTAAGTTTTTACCTTTTACTTCAAATGTCAATGGGCGTATTGATTTTGGTAATCACGGCCTTGCAAATTCGTCTTCACCACAGAGATGCAGCTGTTCCAATATCAAGATTGTTTAGAATAATTGTTAATTTCGAACGATGCTTAAAGTGCTATAAGTCTTGTCTATCATCGAAGGCTTCTACATCTCCTTTAAAATCAGACAAGGAGAAGCACACTGACAATTCTCTGGAAATGCCTGGGGAAATTTTACAGGAAACCAACGATTGTGAATGGAAGGACGTAGCATCCGCCATAGACTCCTTGGCTTTCTGGTTCTTTTTGATATTGTACCTTAGTCTTACGGCACATTTATTCCTCTCTATCGCAATATAAACTCAGGAAAAACTGTCTAAGTGTATATATTCATCTGCAATTTGTAATTCTTATATCGTGTTGAATGTGAAGAAAGTTCTAATGTTTCATACTTGATTTTTCTTGATACATGTGTTCATTCACGCATGTCACTGACTTTGATATGAAACATTTTTCCATGAAAAAAATCTTATTTCAAGAGAATGAAAATAGAAGCTTGGTATAATTTTTCCTCAAAAATGGGAAAAGGGTTAGAATACAAAATACGTAAAATGGCCCTTTCTTTTCATTTAAGATAAGATTTGGATTGCAAGGGGAGGGGGGGTCGTGTTTGTTTTTATTTTTAAAAACAATTACTTTCAAATAGATTTAAAAATTATATACAGTGATTTAAAAAGAACAGGTTACACATTTTTTATATATAAAATTTTTATTTGCATATTTTTTATTTCTTTATTTTTCATCATAAAACAGAAATATAATGTAGTTTTATACTACAGAATTAGAAAATATACAAGTTATTTATGGCTAATGGGCATTAAATTGAATAGGCGCTATTTGAAATAGAAAAATTCATATCATCTATATCTTATAATGGCATTTTTCGAATACATTACGATTCGTATCCTTGCGAATATAGCATAATTGTATATACATGCATATAGTTTTCAATGTTTTTTTTTTTTATTTACCTTCCCTAAATGTTTTTTAACCTCAAAATGTATAATTTTGTCAAGATATTTTACCGTTAAAGGTATAAAGGAGTGAAAGGTTTGAAATAAATTGAAGATTTATATTTTTAAAATATCTTATGAACAATGTCATGTACTTTTCGCAATTTCTAAAAGAAAGAACGTGAACATGGATGCAATGTAAATCTAATTCAATTTAGTATCATTAACTTTTATGCAACAAGAGTAGAAAAATGTTTTGTTTTTTTTTACGTTTACTTAAAAGATTTAATGAATGAAATGCACTGCGTATAAAGCTGCGTATGATTCACTGCGCTTAGTTTGTCCTTATAGGTGAGATTGTTGACAAATTAGGAGAGGGGGATGCGAAGGGTTCTTGATAAGGAGAAAAATTGTTGAATGCCAGAAGGAATTTGTGTACCGGAAAAATGTTATATGTTGGTCATTTCAGTAGCATCGCTTTTCATTTTCTCTAGGATTAAATATGGAGACAAGGAACAGGATTCAAGCTTTGAATCTATCTAAACAATACAAATGGGAACAAAGCAAACAGGGACCTTCAAAAACATCATATTTGCGGGATCAGATACCATGAAGGAGTAAGCATCACCTGTCGATCGGTCACACCCGCCTTGTGCTCCTAAATTGATTTATATTCGGTATATCGAATCATTAATGTTAATGTTATTTGAAGTATGCTAACATTTTAGTGAGGTGTAAAGGAAGAGATACTAGAATCAGCAATGTATTTTTGTTTGTAAGAATTTTATGTAGTTTGAAATCCAGTATAGTATGAGTTATCATATATCAAGAGTTAAACATTGAACATGAAAGCTGTAATTCTTTTAAAAGATCACAAAGAACTTCAAATGGCTTAGACATGGAGGTTTATTCTGACACGACCTTTAATGCGACTTGATCAGAGAGGATAATGCTCTGACAAAGATGGTTGAGCAATATTGTTCCTCATTAATAAATTCGCCATTTTATTTTAAGTTTATCCTCCGGTCGTCGTCACGACGGGTGATATATTTTAATCTCCCTAAACTTATTTACACCTATAATTCGATAATAAAAGTGACCTATATAATCACTCAATCATGACAAGTAAACAGCCGTTCATATAAATATCAAATTTTACTTCATTTTTCCTGCAAGAAGTTTAAAATAACAAATTTTTTTTTAACACAAAGTGAAGAATTTATTATGCTGTTTCATATGTAAACAGTGCAGCTTTAAAAACATTTTTTCTGAAGTTAAGAATGAAATACATGGAGATAATTCAAGTCCATCAAACAATGCAAACAAGGACATCTAATACAACAGAGGTAGGATCAGGTGCCATGGAGGAATGAGCATCACCTGCTGACAGGTCACACATGCCCTGTGCTCTTTGTCATAATCGGGAACTAAGGAGAAATCCGCCGACTAATAGGGCGTAAATAATGGCCAAACAATTAGTATTGAAATTGTCAATCAGCATTAATTGACATGAAGATAGACTGTATTTGCTGATAAGGTCATTGAATCGACATAGAACATACGAACTGATAAATTTAAACGGGACCGTTGATATTCTTGTTTCATCACTTTTTTTTGCAAATATATGATAATTTGCCATGAAAATTGGGTCCAACTTTCAATTTGCTTCGACGCCTATACGTTGACATTCTTGTTTCATCAACCTGTTTGTCATAATTTTTTTAGAAATCAATCATACTTAAACAGCTGTTAAAGCATGCTGCATATCGAATTAATTGAGAGATATGTAAATCTCATTTGCAGGTGACCTGGGTACATGTATATTGCTATATTACGTTTAACATACAGCTTTGTTGTTAATAGATCACCTTTAGCGTCTTTTTCTAGTAAAATATCCAAATATAAAACAGACAGTGTGTTATCTTTCATTTCAAGCTCACTGGGATGTATCGTATCGACATGTGAATGGAAATAACTATTTTAGTTGAAACGAGATAAAGAACACAGCAAGTGTTTTCTTCTTGTCATGGATAAGATTTTAAATAATTTCTGCTTTATATGAATACAAAATAGTCTTCTGACGCAATTGGTACCGATGGAAATTCCGACAGATTGTTAGAAGACATAGTCCAAAAACCACATAAATATTGTCAATCAGAAACTTAAATAGCTTTTAAATAACAACTTTAAAGTGCTTGTGTGTACAATCAGAATGCTTTAACAGAAAAAAAATTGCAACTGACCTAATGACAAGGAAAGTAAATTTTCGAGTTATATTTTTATTGAAAAAAAACAGCTGTTAATTATATCAAAAAGTTGGACTTTAATTTATCGCAGGGAATGGTTGTATGTAGACTTAAAAAGTTGTAAATTTGGTCTATAGAGGCTACTTTATGTATCAACAATTACTAATTCGATGCATGCTATTGACAAGCAAGTTCTTGAAATAAGAATATCAGTCTAGATTAAAGTCAATATTTCGAATGTCCCATGGTCGACAAAATGACCGTGTCATCCAAGTCAAAGATGAATGCAGACTGCCTTTTTCATACTAATTGTTAAGCCTTATTTACACACTGTTTTTTTCTACGGATTTTACCTTTTGCCCGATCATGACAAAAACTTCATGACGGATGAGACCGTTCATAAACGTGATGACTTCAACTTTTCGACTGTCACCTTCCCTTACTTGTGCAGCAATATACCTTCATCGCCTGCGTACGGAGTTTAAATATCTCATTTGATTCGATACACAAGAGCATATGAACAATTTCAAACGAGGTAAATTATTGACAAACAAGTTGATGAAACAAGAATATCAGCAGTCTCGTTTAAAGTCATCATTTCGTAAGTTCTATTGTCGATACAATGACCTTGCCAGAAAATACAATTTATCATTGAGTCAAAATGATACTTATTGTTAGGCATTATTTATACACTGAATGACGACGGATTTTTCCATTATTTCCCGATCAAGACAAGGAGCACACGGCGGGTGTGACCGGTCGGCAGGGGATGCTCACTTCTCCATGGTATCTAATGCCACTTCTAATGTTTAGGAGGTCCGTGTTTGCTATGCTTCTATTTTGCATTGTTTTATGGACTTTTGATCTTGAATACTGTTCGTTATCTCCATATGTTTCATTCGGAAATCTGAGGAATGTCTTTATTTTTCTTAATTTACACGGAGATTTACCTCTTCTTGGTGCTAATTGTTCATTCATATACACCAAACTGTTCCCCCTGGAATGAAAAAAAATATTTGTATCTGATTACAGTATGTAATCTCTGAATGTGTAGTCAGTATTTAACCTGTAAAGTCGATTTACATTATTGGTTTGGACATCAGGCGTGGTCAAAAAAAGTAATCTCCTCTGCCTGTTTATGTAGGTGAGGGTGTGTATGTGTATATGTGTGAAATTATTTTCATGTTTTTACCCTTGCATTAAAAAAAATCCAATCAAAAAGCCCCCAGTGAGGATCGAACTCACGACCCCTGGTTTACAAGACCAGTGCTCTAACCACTGAGCTATGGAGGCATATATATAAGGTATTTATCCTAACAAGAACATAAGTACATTTATATCGATCAGGAAACAGCTGTTTCTTCTATTCTTTAGCTTAATAGTATTACTTATCAAATCGATTCAAAGAAAATAATTTAGATGAAAGAAAAGCTACTTTTTAATTCTAATACTTCAAATGTTACTTGAAATGTTAAGTATGGTATGGCTAAAAATAAGGTTTAATTATGAATTAATTAAGTCTTTTAATTTTCAAACAAAGGCTGTGAAGGAATATTTTTTGCAAACCGTGTTTAAATCCATTTTTTAATGCCGATAAATAAATGAATGAATAACCATTTTAAGATTTGTGCCGAGAAAATTTATATTTTACTTGCTATAATTTCTATTCTACTTTAAGTTATCAGGGTATAAGGGGTCTTTTACGGAAAATGTTTGAAATTTACATTGAACGTGGATATATTATATTCATAAGATAGGAGAATATCTGAGAAGAGTAACAGATAAGGTATCTTTGTTGTACAGGTGTAGATAAAATCAAAACGCTGGTTTTTATCTTCCTTGAAAGTTTGCCAATGTTTACAGTACATGTGAAAATAAATTGATCTACTGTAGAATTTCAATGCGTTATAACTCCAAATGTTCCCTCGTCGAAATTTAAATATGAAGAATCTTGAAATTAAAAAAATGATAATAAAACTTGTATAATGATCTTTTAAGCACTTGTAACATATTTGGGTCATATTTTGAAGTATAATGTCAATAGCTATTGTGAATGTTGGAAATGACGTTAACATATATGTAATATAAGATTTCTTTTGTGC